TTTTTTTTTTTTTTTTTTTTTTTTTTTTTTTTTGAGGCTGGAGTGCAATGGCACCATCTCAGCTCACTGCAACCCCCACCTCCCAGATTCAAGTGACTCTCCTGCCTCAGCCTCCCAAGTAGCTGGGATTACAGCCACCCGCCACCACACCTGGCTAATTTTTGTATCTTTTGTAAAGATGGGGTTTCACCACGTTGGCCAGGCTGGACTCAAACTCCTGACCTCAGGTGATCTACCCGCCTCCGCCTCCCAAAGTGCAGGGATTACAGGCATGGGCCACCACGCCCAGCCACAAAATTCTTTTAAAGGCAGGAGGAGAATGGAGGGTGGGAAGAGATTGAGATGGAGCATTTATTCTCCTGTCTCCCAGCTCCCTGTGCCAGGCCCCTACTTGGCAGCAGCTGTGCTCCTCTACCTAAGACCACTGCTCCCATGGGACAGTCCTCCGCCATAACCCTGGATCTCTCTGGGTCCTCCTCTCTGCTAGTATCTTCATAAATAGTCCGATGACAAACCCTTTTTACTTCTCCCTTCAGAGTCTGCTGTCCAGCAATACACCAGATTCATCTGACTCAGAAAAAAAAACTCTCTAAATTAAAGGAAGACACTAAATATTGTATCCTGTACTGGACTCTGTACCCATTTGGTTTGCCTGGGATTGTCACACCTATAAAGAGAATGTGTTCACCTCCCGCATCTACTTCCTTTTTTTTCTTTTTTTTAAATGGAGTTTCGCTCTTGTTGCCCAGGCTGGAGTGCAGTGGCATGATCTCAGCCCACTGCCACCTCCACCTCCTGGATTCAAGCAATTCTCCTGCCTCAGCTTCCTGAATAGCTGGGATTACAGGCACCTGCCACCATATCTGGCTAATTTTTTTTTTTTTTTTTTTTTCTGGATTTTTAGTAGAGGCAGGTTTCATCACGTCAGCCAGGCTGGTCTCGAACTCCTGACCTCAGGTGATCCACCGGCCTCGGCCTCCCAAAGTGCTGGGATTACAGGCATGAGCCACAGCGCCCGGCAGCTTCCCCATCTACTTCCTAAGGGATCAAGGCTCTCTGATATATTTTCTCACCGCCCCCCCAGCCTCATCCCCAGTACCTGAATTCAACCAGGTCCAGCTGGGAGTTTCTTGGAGGTCTCTGTTTTACCAGTACGTAGATGCCTGGCTTTTTGTTTTGCTGCCACTGGTTTTTCTGAGATCTTCCTTGCCCTCCTCCACTCCCCACCATATCCAAGGGATGGGACATCTGCCCTGGTTTTCGAGACCCTGTGTCCTCTAGATCTAATCCAAATACCAAATGCCAAGCCCCACTTAGGATCCTGCTCCAAATGGATCCATCTCCTGAAACAACAATGCTGCTTCTCACCTTGCTGTGAAAAAAAAAAAAAAAAAAAAATTCCCAAGGAGTGAACCACAGACTACACAGGGAATGTACAATCCCTCCCTCTCGTCTGGGATATTATGTTTCCAGTCCCTAAGCCACAGCAGGAAGTTGCCTGTGGATACCCAGAGAGATCATTCAGCTAAGATCTGAACAGTCAGGAAAACTCCAGAGGCTAGGGTTTTGTCCGGTTCTTTTCTCTTCCTTACACGCCATAGTACGGTATTGACAAACTATGGTCTGCTAGTCAAATTCAGCCTACTGCTTGTTTTTGTAAATAAAGTTTTATTGGCACACAGCCACACTCATTCATTACCTATTGTCTACAGCTGTTTTCAAGTTACAATGCCTAAGTTGAGTTGTTGGGACACATTGTATGGGCCACAAAGCTCCAAATATTTACTCTCAGGCCATTTGCTGAAAAAAATTTGCTGACCCCTGGAGAAGAGCAGACAACACTTAGCATCTGTGGGCCAGACGCAGTGGCTCATGCCTGCAATCCCAACACTTTGGGAAGTGAAATCTGGAGGACCACTTGACCCCAGGAGTTCATGGCCAGCCTGGGCAACATAGCCAGACCCTATCTCTTTTTTAAAAATTAAAAAGTAGCCAGGCATAGTGGCCTGTGCCTGTAGTCCTAGCTACTCAAGAGGCTAAAGCAGGAGGATCGCTTGAACCTGGAAGTTTGAGGCTGCAATGAGCTATGATTGTGCCACTGCACTCCAACTTGGATAACAGCATAAAACCCTGTCTAAAAGAAAAGAAAACAGCACCTTAGCACCTGATGACTATAATATAGTTGTCAACTGTGGTTGATAAAAAGCAGAAACCTAACTCACACAAAATTAAGAATAAAATGAATAAAAGAATTAAGTGTGAGAATGTCTTCTTATCAATTTTTCTCAGTCCTGTCTGCGTCACTTATAAGTTTATACCATTGTGATTGTCAAATTAATAATAATATTAGTTTTTTAAAATGTTTGACTTGAAATGTGATCTTAACCTCCACTTGGGCCTCTCTGGGTCTCTCTCTTCTTCCCCACCCTGGCTTCCCTCTTTTCTAGGCTTTCCTGGGTCTAGGCTTTCTTCTGGACTTACCTCTTGGGTTTCCTGCTCAGAAAATGTCCCTTCTAGTGTCCCCAGTCTCTACAGGGTGAGGGGTGAGGATGGGTCTTTCCCACTCGGTTCTCCCAACCTCCAGACACTTCGATATGACGAGATGTGTCGGCTACCTCTTGGAGCCTCTTACATCCCTAAAACTAAAGCAAGCTACAGTGAGCAAACTGAAAATGCTTTCTATACATTTTATGTCAATGCTGTGCTAGCCAGAGTAGTGAGTGAGGGGAGAGAGAGATGGGATGGAAACCACGTACATCACACACACTCAGATACACACAGGCACACATAACCTCGAAAACCTCTTGTATGCAATTGACATATCCACAACCTCAGACAGTCACACGCAAACTCTTCAGACATACAACCACACACACACCCACACACACCTTCAGAAATGCAGCTCCGTGCATGCAGTCATACAATCCCTACACACACACACACTTCCCACATTTATGTACACCCTCAGGCGCACAACCACACACCTTCAGAAATGCAATTCCAGGCATACAGTCTTACAATTCTGCACACACACACATTCATGTACACCCTCAGACACACAACCACACACACTTTCGTGGCTCTGCACAACCACCCTTCATAGATTAAATCCTACAGAGGCAGTGACAGTCACACAATTCCTACATACACACAGAAACACACACACACACTCTTTAGGTCACAAAACACAAACTTCAGACTTTTGAAATCATCCTCACATTTAAACATTCAGCTCCACACACCTGTTCAGGACGGCTATCCCACTCACAAATTCAGTCTCTCTGTCTCTCTTTCTCTCTCTCTCTTTCTCTCTCTCTCTCTCTCTCTCTCTCTCTCACACACACACACACACACACACACACACTAATGCCCAGACCCCTTGCAGCCTCAGCCACATCAGATATATCTGAAATTGGTGAAATAAGCCCTCTGATAGAGAAAGCAATCGAGCCCTATAAATGCACGAGGCATCAGGCTCGGTGCTGGAAACACGCCTGTGGAGCGGAGGCCACGGGTTGGGGAGGTGGCGATATGGGGCAGGGAGACCCGGGATAACTAAGGGGATAGGAAACTCACCAGAACGACCCAGAGAAAAGCGGAGGCGTCGGCTCTAAGGGGCAAGGAGGAGCTCAGAGACAAAGGGCGGCAGAGAGGTGGGGACGTGGGTGCAGGGAGCGCCCCACACGCCTCAGCCCAGCGCCACGGATCCCCACCTGCCCGCAACCTCCGCGCCGCAGCCCCACCGAGTCCCCGCGCCGAGCCGCGGAGCCCCCACTCACCAGCGTTCGGAGCGGCGGGGGCGGCCTGCCAGCGCCTCGGCCTGCGCGCTGCGCCCGGATGCAGGAGCCGGAGCCCGGCGAAGCGCCCGGCCGGGGCCGCGGGGACCCGCCAGGGACGGTGCAGCGCCGGCGTGGGGACTGGACGGTGGAGGCACCGGCGCGGAGCCGGGACGCGCTGTGCTGCCGGTGGGATCCGGGCCAACCCTGCGCTTACGTGGGTGTGGGGGCGCCGGGCGGCCGGGGGAGGGGGCGGGATCCCCTCCGCGATGCCCCCCGCCTCCCCCGCGCCCAGCCCAGGCTCAGCAGCCGCGCGGGAGAAGGGGGACCGCGTGTTTGGGAAGGGAGGGGAGTTGGGGTGGGCGGGGGTGAGTGGCCTCTCCGGCATCCAGCCCCCGCCCCCTGCTCGGAGCCGCGCCTCCGCGCCCCCGCCCCCTAAACCGTCTCCGGAGCCCTCGGAGGCCTCAGCATCCCGGGCGGAGCGCAGGGAACAGGCCCTGGCACTGCGGGACCCGCGCCAGCGGCCTCGGCGGAGGCCTGGGGAAGGCGCGGCTCTAGTGTCCCAGTGACAACGGCCAGGGAGATGGCTCCGCTGCCCCCTTCTCCCTGCGGGTGCACCTTCTGGCCTTGGCCACTCGACCGCTCTGTGCCCTTGGGCCAACCCCTCTCCCTCTCTGAGCCTGGCCTCCTCCTCTAAACAAGGGAGATGACTTGGCCGACCCCATAGAAAATTAAAGCTGGGAAAATTAAAGCGCGTGAGGCTGGAAATGCTCCATGCCAGCGCGAAGCATTGGGCAAATGGGAGATGGATAATGTTGCTCCTATTGTAATTAATATTATTCTTCGCTGTCTTTAGAGCACACCAGGAAAGGGGCACTCGGCTTTTCTTCTCGAAAGGCAGTGACTTGGTTGCTTCCCACATCTTCCGCCTCTCCTGAGAGCTAACGCCATTTAAAGATCTGAGCATAAAGTCTGTCATGTGAATAAAAACTCAGTGCAGGCCGGGCGCGGTGGCTCAAGCTTGTAATCCCAGCACTTTGGGAGGCCGAGGCGGGCATGAATCACTTGAGGTCAGGAGTTCAAGACCAGCCTGGCAAAGATGGTGAAATCCTGTCTCTACAAAAATACAAAAATTAGACGGGCGGCCGGGCGCGGTGGCTCAAGCCTGTAATCCCAGCACTTTGGGAGGCCGAGACGGGCGGATCACGAGGTCAGGAGATCGAGACCATCCTGGCTAACCCGGTGAAACCCCGTCTCTACTAAAAAATACAAAAATCTAGCCGGGCGAGGTGGCGGGCGCCTGTAGTCCCAGCTACTCGGGAGGCTGAGGCAGGAGAATGGCGTGAACCCGGGAGGCGGAGCTTGCAGTGAGCTGAGATCCGGCCACTGCACCCCAGCCTGGGCGACAGAGCGAACCCCCCCCCCAAAAAAAAAAAAAAAAAAAAAAAATTAGACGGGCATGGTGGCGCATGCCTGTAGTCCAGCTACTCGGGAGGCTGAGGCGGGAGAATCTCTTGAACACAGGAGGCAGAGGTTGCAGTGAGCGGAGATCGTACCACCGCACTCCAGCCTGGGCGACAGAGCAAGATTCCGTCAAAAAAAGAAAAAAACCTCAGTGCACGTTCAATGTTTTTTATTATTGTTGCTGTTATTGATGAAGTGTTGATGGCACCCTCCTGAACTAGGCAGGCTCTTTTATTAACACTTATATTTAATCTGCACACTCCTATAAAGTAAATATCACTTCCTCTATTTTCAGGGCACAGACAGGTGCTCAGAAAGGTTCAATAACTTGTCCAAGGTCACACAGCCAGGAAACAGGTGCCCCAATTCTAATTGTTTGCATTCATCGCCCTAGCTCTGCTTCTTTGCAACAGCTCCTAGATATAGGTGATTCTCAAACTTAACTGTATTTTAAAATCACCTGGAGAGCTTTCAAAAATTCTGAAGCCAGCCTGACATGGTGGCTCATGTATGTAACCCCAACATATTGGGAGGCCAAGGAGAGAGGATCACTTGAGCCCAGGAGTTCAAGATCAGCCTGGGCAACATAGCAAGACTCTGTCCCTATTTTAAAAAAAAATTCAAAAAGTTAGCTGGGCACACACCTGTAGTCCCAGTTACTCAGGAGACTGAAACAGGAGGGTCACTTGAGCCTAGGAACTTAAGGTTACAGTGAGCTATGATTGTGTCACTGCACTCCAGCCTGGACAAGACAGCAAGATCCTATTCAAAAAAAAAAAAAAAAGAAAGAGAAGAAATCTGATGCCCAAGCCACACCCTATACTAAGCACTTCAGCATCCCTGGGAGTGGGACCCAGGCATCAGTATATTTGAATGCTCCCCAATGTATGGCTAAGGCTGAATCTCTGTCCTTGGTGTCAGGTTCCCCTGGACCACATTGGCAACCCCTCCCTGCAACCTTCTCACTCCTCTGCTTCAGTCACTCACTATGCTTGGACGATTCTGCATCCTTCTTGAACCTAGAACTGCCTCTGAACTCCTGCCTCTTACAGTCATTCACTCCACAAATACTTACTGTGCACTTGGCTGTGCTAGAGGCTGGAGATTCAGCAGCGAAGATAACAGGGCCCTTGGTCTGTCACACAAAATAATAAGTAAATAAAATAGCAATAGTTCCCTGGCAACTGGGTCTTGCAAACTCTTTACACCCGTAACAATCAGGGACAATCCCAAAGAAACCACAACTCAAGCCTAAGCATGAGAAAAGCATCAGACACATTTCAACAGAGAAGCATCCTGTAATCTACCTGCATAGTCCTCTTCAAAACAGTCATTAAAAATTAACGAACGTCTGGAGCAGGGTTTGGTGGCGGGCGCCCTGTAGTCCCAGATACTCAGGAGGCTGAGGCGGGAGGACCGCTTGAACTCAAGTGGTTGAGGCTGCAGTGAACTGTGATTGTGCCACAGCACTCCAGCCTGGGCAACACAGCGAGACCCTGTCTCTAAAAAAAAAATTAAAATTAAAAAATGGGAAAACAAGGAATGTCTCAGAAACTGTCACAGTCAAGAGGAATCTAAGAAGATGTGACAGCCAAATGTAATGTGAGATCCTAGAAAATAAAAAGGATATAAGGAAAAAATTAGGAAATCTGAATAGGGTATGGACTTTCACCAATAACAATGTATCCATATTGGCCGGGCGTGGTGGCACACACCTGTAATCCCAGCCCTTTGGGAGGCCAAGGTGGGCAGATCACTAGAGGTCAGGAGTTTGAGGCCAACATGGTGAAACCCCGTATCTACTAAAAATATAAAATTAGCCAGGCGTGGTGGTGGGTGACTGTAATCCCAGCTACTCGGGAGGCTGAGGCAAGAGAATCACTTGAACCCAAGAGGCAGAGGTTGCAGCGAGCCAAGGTCATGCCACTGCACTCCAGCCTGGGCAACAGGGTAAGACTCTGTCTCAAAAAAAAGTATCTCTAACAATAACATTTTGTTAATAATGTGTCAATATAATAATATATCAATGTTACAATGTTGTAATTATACAAATGTGCCATACTAATGAAAGATATTAATAACAAGTGAAACTAAGTCAAGAGAGTATATGGGAACTGTCTGTACTATCTTTTCATTTTTTATGTAAATCTAAAACTGTTCTCAGAAACTGTGTCTTAATTTAAAAAGATCCTGGGAGATCCCTAAGAGCTTTTGTTTATATAGGTTACAGCTATTGATCTTTACAGTATCAGAAATTAAAACTGAAAAAGTGTTTCTACACTTATGTATTCATTTTGACATAACAAAAATAAACCTACTACATGTTAACATAAAATAGCATATTTTTATGAAAAATAACTTATTTTCCAAAACAAGAAAAAGAGAAGAGTGACATTGTTTTACACTTTTTCAAATCGCTTTGATGTCTGCCTTAATAAAAAGGAAACGGAATTTTTATGCAGTTGAGTTTCATTATTCATGGATTCTGTATTTGCAAAGTCACTCACTCACTAACATGTATTTGTGACCCCAAAATTAATACTTGCGGAGATTTTGAAGTTATTCTGGGTCATTTGCAGAGAGATGAACATTTCGAGCTGCACGGCATGAACATTTGTAGCTAAGATGCAATAAAACCACGCTCTGTTATCTTGTTTCAGCTCATACGGTGAACAAGCATCCTATTTGTGGCCTATTTAATGCCATACTTTTCTATTTTTCACGTTTTTTGTTGATTTTGCTGTTTAAAATGGTCCCAGGCACTTTGCCGAAGTGCTGTCTAGCGTTTCTAAGCTTACGTGCTTAGTGTGTTTCTAAGCTCTAGAAGGCTGTGGGGTAGCCGGGTGCGGTGGCTCACACTTGCAATCCCAGCCACACTTTGGGAAGCCAAGACAGGAGGATTACTTGAGCCCAGGAGTTTGAGATCAGCCTGAGAAACATATCGAGACTCCCCTATCTCTACAAAAACTTTTAAAATGAGCCAGGTATGGTGGGTGTGCCTGTGGTCCCAGCTACTCAGGAGGCTGAGGTGGGAGGATCACTTGAGCCTGGAAGTTTGATGCTGCAGTGAGCTATGATCGCACCACTGCACTCCAGCCTGGGCGACAGAGCAAGACTCTATCTCTAAAACAACAACCACCACCAAAAAAAAAAAAAGCTGTAAGGCTGTGACATGCCTTACAGAGACAATATGTATGTTAGGTAAGCTGTGCTCAGGCATAACTTTTAGTACTGTTGGCCATGAGCTCGATGTTAATGAATCAACAACATATATTAAATATGGTGTCTTTAAACAAAAACACAAATAAAACAAAGTATATATCAGTTGACAAAAATGTTGTGACCAGGTGCTTACAGAAACTAAATCTTATACTTCCCCCTGGAAGCAGTGATTTAGTATCTGCTACTTCAGTGTTCAAAGCAACTTTTTAGGGCTGGATGCCGTGGCTCAAGCCTGTAATCTCAGCACTTCGGGAGGCCGAGGTGGGTGGATCACCTGAGGTTGGGAGTTCGAGACCAGCCTGACCAACATGGAGAAACCCTGTCTCTACTAAAAATACAAAATTAGCTGGGTATTGTGGCACATGCCTGGAGTCACAGCTACTTGGGAGGCTGAGGCAGGAGAATCGCTTGAACCCAGGAGGCAGAGGTTGCGGTGAGCTGAGATCGCACCATTGCGGTAAGCCAAGATCGCACCATTGCCCTCCAGCCTGGGCAACAAGAGCAAAGCTCCATCTCCAAAAAAAAAAAAAAAAAAAAAAAAAGCAGAGGAAAAAAAAGCAACTTCATATAATATAACTACCATGAATAATGAAAATCAACTGTATCTTCTTCTGCATTGAATCTGTCGTGGTATATTGTTTTGGTTGAAATACATGAAAAATATT